TATTTTACTGTAATCCAACTACATATTTTTGAATTTGTTGGCTAAAAAATTCGCTGCATTAGATAACCTTTCATTCGTTTCTCAATGTCTTTTACCCTACACCCCCCCCCCCCCCCCCCTTAAAAAACGCCTGTCATAGCTTCCTATATAATTCTCTGTGTATGCCAGTTTGAAGTCAGCCCGCGTTTTAGACTGAACACGGCCCTCTTAGTGGGCATTCTTAGAGCTTTTTTGTGGTTGCCTTAAGCAAAGCTTTCCGGAAGGCATCATTAAGCCTTACGAAGGAACAAGTCTCACGATCGGCAAAGTCTGCTACGTCTTCTCGTATTTCGTCTCATTTAGATACTCGGATGAAAGACTGATCCCGGGTGTGAGAAGGAAAGATTGGATATTGCGAACTTTGTTGTTGGCAGCAAAAAGTCTTTGGCCTCACAAAGTAGGTTCTAGGGGTGAAATTTATTCGGCGAGATGGAAATTGATGCTGATCTCTGATAAGGCCAAAGAAGTCTTCGTTAAAAATTGTTTGCTAGGTGGGGGCTCCATGTCTCCTTTTCAACCGTTGGTTTACATCCAGGATCTTGAATAAATCGACTGTGTGAGTCGAGAAAAGTTTCCATAGAGGATTTATTTGCAGAATGCGACAGTTTTTCCGAGTAATTTGACGTTGATTCGCCCGTGTTAAATGTGGAAATATTATGAGTGGTTTTTCGAAAATTTGTGATTGCCGTTAAAGTAATATTATGCGATTTACCGAAACATTGACAAACAAAACTCAGGTATGTGGTTGAGCTCGTGTTACCAGATTACGGTACCAAGCATAAAAAAAAAACGCTTCGCAAGTATTTAGTTTAGGTGATTTTGTTGTGCGGCTTCTTAATCTGTTTTCGGCAGACACTTGGCTATGGGCCGCATGGTTTAGCTGACTAAAAGGCTAGAATGTCTGGATGTTTCAAATAATGTTTATTTTATCCATCCTGTTACTTCTGAGAGAGAAATTTACCGTCTGTTGCCAGCAATAAAGTTGTCACCTAGTATTTTGTAATTACTTTCCATTCGACTTAGATATCAAATTGTTCAAATGCTCTTTAGCCACGTTTCAGGAAACTCCAGACAGATATATTTATAAAGGAGAAAACATATACCACCAAGATATCTTCATGTAGACCATCATAATTCTGTAGTTCTCGAAGACAAACGTAAAAGGAGGAACTGGTTGCGTTTTCCACCCACAAACTTGCGGCATCATGCTTAAAGTCTGCACTTATATGTTCTGCTGTAACCAGGACCGTTGGTGTAAACGCAAATTTTCCCTGGTAAAAAAAGAAACATTTATAACAGTAAGAAACTTGAATTGGTAATCATTACGTATACTCAGCAAAGATGATTGGGAGAATAGCATGTAAAATTTGGAATATATAACATTTCACATGATCGGGACGCTCATAGGACATCGGATCGTGGTCAGGTGTGTGAACGCGACTGTCAAATTTAGCCCTTGACCGTGCAAGTGTCTTTCTCCTATTTTTTTGTAATAAATAATGCTTTTTTTTTTTAAGAATATCTGCCCCTTCTGACAAACAGTGTAAAAATTGGAAAAGGTTTAAAAATGGCCTATGTGTCAGAAAGAATTTCGCGGACAGAACTGGGCTGCCTCTTTGCAGCTCATGTCTCCAAGTCCAAGTACGATATCTTTGATTGGATAACAACTGGAGTGTTTGGTACTTATGACATCAGCATAGCAAATGTTCACCTTATTGAAAACTTAACTAAAGGTCATTATTTTTTACGGTTTATGCAACGAAACAAGATGCAGCTGAGAGGTAACAATAAAGTGTTATTGCCTGAGGAAGGCTGACTTTTGAGCACTGTGATCCAGTCCACCACTCTGGAATACGCATTTTACCCGCCACACCTCCATCTGGAGCACCTTGGTAGGCCATCCAGTCCACCGTGGCAAATTCTTTGACAAAGCGATCATTTCTTCCTGCTGCACTCACGCACACCTAAAGATAAAATGTAATGGCTAATGTTTATTTTATATGGTAAGATAATATATAGATTTAGCCAAGGCCAAAAGCGAAGCTCTCTTGGTAACTTACTTCCTGCAGTAAAGTTTTCTAAGCCTGCGATCTCTTGAATTCTGTTACTGGTCAGCGGTGAACTTAAAAAAAACCATCATCTCAATAAGTTGCACACCTGAGACCGCCGTTAAGTCATGTGACACTGGTCTACGGATGCCCTACTTTGACGGCTGTCAGTTGATTATAACATGGACGTCCAAAATCGAGTTAAACACAATTTGTACATGTTTTGGACTTACAGCTAGTAAGACATTTCACATCCGTTAACATGAAGACGCCGTCCTACGTACGTACGCACGATTTTGCTAGTAACCAAAATTTCTTGGATGCATAGATAACCAAATTTTCTTACCCATAGTGTTCCTCTGCGCGCCAAAGACGCAAAATCTCCGCTAGTAACTCGTTGTGAAAATAAAATGTGTTCAAATAGTATTTTACTGGTCAGAAATATGACAGGTAAACAAGAGTTCTTGGAGATGTAAAACAAATGAACAGAGGCTCACTAATTACTACTTGAAGTAATACTTGGATCGAAAACTTCCTTTAAAAATATTCACCTCAAAATTCTCGAAGATAACAGTTTCCACCCAGGACACAGTAGCATCATGTACAAAATTTTTCTCGCTTATGTTCCAGTGATTGGTCGTTATTTGTACGTGCACTTCTTTGTCCGGATAGAATGAAAACGGTGGAAATTTCACTACT